GTGGTCAGTGCAGAGTGTGAAGGGAGGAGAGGGTCAGTAGATATGTCGCTGCAGCCATCCCATCCCATCCGTCAGTTTCCACGCAGCCAGCCATCCGTGATTGTAACCGCCGCCTGGGCGGACGTCGTCATCGTCATTTCACTTCTTCCCCCTCTTCCTCTTCTGCACAACCGTGCACCACTGCCCACCATCTCCCTCCTCTTTCACCACACCACCACAACACTGACCGACAGGCCCAGCCGATAGCCTCCACTCTTCAACCTTCTGGACCTTGCAGTCCTTTTTCCCATTTGACGACGACGTCCGCCTCTTCCTCTTATCGGTGTCGCCCGCAAACGACGCTGGCGTCTGGGAGCGCCGCCAGGATTGGTCAATCTGGCGCGGTGGTGGTGGTGGTGGTGAGGGACTGGCCGCCAAACGCGCCGGTGGAGTCGACGGCGGCGTTGGCAAACCGGCGAGAGAGGGCCCAGGGGCGGTGGTGGTGGCGGTGGTCACCATGGCGTTGTTGACGTCGCGCCAGCGCTGCGGAGCCGCCTGGCGCATGTGAGCGAGGAGGTCAGAGAGGGACTCCCTCGTCAGTTGCTTGTTCTCCTGCCCACGCCAGGCGCTCAGGCAGGCCGCCGGCACGGCCTAGACTCTGGTCACGTCGATCCACGTCGGGAAGTTGAAGTGGATGCCGTGCTGGAGCTGGATGAAAGGCCGACTGGGATCGGGCCTTTCCGAGTTGCAGTTGGCGGCTGCGCGGAAAACCGTCTTGTCGGCTGTGAGGTAGATGGTTAGCAAGGTTGGACATGAAGATGGATATGAGGGTGATACGATGGTAGCGGGAAGGTGACAGGAAGGTGACATGAACTGAGCACGGCATGCATGATAATGGATTGGCGATGTACTTACAATGTATCTTCCTGAGGTCTGGCCTCCCCCATTGGAGCTTGCGCGGTCCCACGCGAAGAGCACCCGAACGACGAGATCAACGCAATCAGGGCCATGGACCCGTCATGCGACCGCTTCAGGAGAATGCAAGGGTGGCCAAAGCCTCCCTGGTCCATCCGCGGTGTGATCTGGTTGATGTCGCTCTTGTGGATGAACTTCTCGCTCATCAACCTAACACATTGCCCCGAGGGCATGGAGTCGATGGCGTGTGGTGCCATATCGTTTGCAAGCGCTGGAATGACTGCGGTTGCATGAGAGAGAGAAATGGAAAAAAACGAAACACCGGGGCAGAAGAAGAGTATATGTAACTGAATTAAGCTTAAACTTTTTCGAAACCAATGTGGACCAGGGAATCTCTTCAAAGTCACTGCAGTGACGCGTCGTGGCCGGGACTCAACCATCGTGAGTCTGATTATGGTCGATGTGGAGAAATGGGCTGGACGCCCTGTTTCTAAACTTGTCTTTCGATGCTTTCAATGCTTGTTGGGCACGACTGTGGACTTTGTGGCAGGACTGTCCGGTGAAGTGAGATGGAGACGGTCCAGCTGACAACTTGCAAAATTATTGACTGCTTTCTGGAAAAGAAGTAAAAACAGCTTGTTGGGGAAGTGAAGTTGGTATACCAACTGGGATAATTTGAATATTCCGTGTGGCGGGATCCCATAAGTTTCAATCTACTGCCACGTATTGAATATTCAGCGACTTCTGGTTATAGCGTAGGCTTCCGGTTTTTCTTTTTGGGTTCTGATGTGGCTCTGAATTGGAGGCCCGCCGCCCCCAACTTGATCCACACATTGTTCCAACAACCCACCTCGAGAAGATTCTGCCTCGGTCCTGAAAGCTGATTAAGACAGAGGAAATGAAAACTGATATACATGGTGATGGTAGTTTTGGTTCTATCCTGCACTTCACAAAACATACTACGGAATAATATATTTCCCAGGGGCGCTTTGTCTTATAATCAGAGCTACCCAGTTCCAGATTAGCAACTGTTCTATAAGACCGGCTTCCCAATACACAAACCATTGTGTCTGCAACATAAGAATTCCAGTAACAAGTCATTATATGACAAGTACGAAGGAAACAGCAGATCAGGATTGAATCCCAACATCAAGGCTCATGATAACAAACTCGTCTCTCTCACAACTTCCCCACAGCCTTCAACCCCCTCTCCCCATCAACAAGCACACACCACCCCTCCCCTCCCCAACCCCCATCCCCCGCAACCACAGCCCTAAAGTTGTTCTTCGCAAAAGCCAGCACCTCATTGTTAAAAGTGCCCGGCTGCAAAAACACACTCGGGAAGCCGAGCTCCTTTGCCTCTTTCAAACTGGCAAGGGTAACAGCAGGGGGGGTGATGAACGAAACCGAGGTCTCCTCTGGCTTCTCGATCTCTTTGAGCGAGGTGACAACGGGGTGGTCCTCACCGTCGACGGGAATGGGCTTGCCGGAGGGGTTGATGGGGGTGACGGGGAGGTTGTGGTTGAGGTACCATTTGAAGACTTGAACCGGTGTTAGTATGTGTTGTTTGATTACCTAGGGATGAGGTTGGTGATAGGTACCTTTGTACCCGTACTTCTCCTGGTTGGCACTAGCTCCCACGACGGCATACTTGGGAGACTGGAAAAACGTCCTGAGTGTCACATCGGTGGCAGCCATGGTTGCGAATTGAGCTGTCTTGAGACGGGGTTTGAAGAAAGTGCGGCTGTGAGAGTGTGATGTCGTTGTGAGTGGAGCACAGTTATGGCAGTTTATAGTTGTGGGAGTGTGGAGAGGAAACCAGGTGTAAGCTGGAGAATGCACTCGAACGGATCGTGAAACTGGACGGCGAGCGAGGTTAAATCGAGAGGACAAAGAGGGAAGCAGCTGACGATGCATCTAAATGTATTTAATGCGCTTAGGTGAGAGGAAAATGACAAATCTTTGCGGCACACGCTGCAAGCCGAATCACACAATGTCAAGCAAAGAGCCGCCAAGGACCCCAAGAGATGCGGGCGACGCCGATGTTATAGCGGTTGACGCCCCCGCAAACGGGAGGTGCTAATGCCGCTGGAGGCTGGAGCAATGACGTGCCTCGGTCTGGGAGGCGAGAGGTGCCCCGCTGGCTGGTAGGGTATCAGGCAGGGACAAAGGGGTCGGACTGCTGTGCAGCAGACAGCTGATGGATTGCGACCTGGAGCTAGTCGGATAAGAGATAATCCAACCAGTGAAACTCAAAGAGACAGAACCGTGTCGATGTGTGTGCTGTCACGTGCCTGGAATTAATGGCATCACGTGTTATGGCTTCCCCGATCCTCTCGTTCTGGCACTCCTGCCAAAGATTGGTTGACCTTGCCTTGAAGGCCATCTTCGACTTCAACTTCATGGAAACTGAGTGCCCCGTATCGATAAGAAAAGGAGGGGCAGTGCCAAGGCGTGTGGTGGGTTGTTGCTGGAGCCGTTGCCCCGTGAAACAATCAACAAGCACCGGCATGGAGGCACAGACCAAGACAGCGCAGCCCGACCATTTCAGCTGGCGGTCAAACCAAGGCCATAGAAATTGGCAACCCCCCCGTCTCTGAATCCACTCTCTAGACCGCACATCAACTTCCGAATAGCTTCGTCTTGTTCTGCCCTCAGCATTCCAACAAAGTTTCCTGCCCAGCCTTTTCCGCGCGTTCATTTAGTTTTGCATCACACACGCAATCAAAATGGTGAGTACATTTGCCACGCACAGTTCGAGGATCAGGAGAGCGCGATCAAAGCAGCAGCACAGCCAATCAGCCACCACAGTCCCCCCCAAATTGTTAGCGCACCGATGCGGTACGGCGGTACGGCGGTTACCTGTACCTGGCGGGCAGTGGTGCCAACTTTAAAAGTTGGATGGTCGTCTTGTCTTTGACGGCGACGACAACGACTGACTGCTTTCTATTTTTTTACGCCCAATTGCTTCTCTCTCCCGACCTCGAATCATCGCATCGCATCCTAAAAAGATGGCCACTAATCAGTTTGACTCCCCGCAGGCTTCGACCAACTACAAGGAGGCTTTCTCTCTGTTCGACAAGCGCGGCAACGGCCGTGTCACCCTCGATAGCTTGGGCGATCTCCTGCGCGCCTGCGGCCAGAACCCAACCCTTGCCGAGATCCAGGAGCTCGAGAAGAACGTTGGCGGTGATTGTGAGCAGAAGAACATGGAAGTGCACAAGGCACAGTGACTGACAGACGACTCCAATATAGTCGACTTTGAGACCTTCCAGCGCATTCTGAACCGACCGGGCGGCTTCCGTGACCCTGGCGAGCCCGACGAGTACTGCCGCGGCTTCCAAGTATTCGACAAAGACATGACGGGCTTTATCGGCGTGGGCCAGCTCAAGTACATCCTGACGAACCTGGGCGAGAAGATGACCGAGGAGGAGGTGGACGAGCTGCTCAAGGCGGTGGACACCAGCAACGGGCAGGTCAACTACACGGAGCTCGTCCGCACCATTCTCGCCAACTAGAGGGAGGTGAAGCTACCGGACGTATGGGGGTCTGCAGTATGACAGACATGTTTTCATCTTGGGGGCACTTGCATCGATTAAGAGGCGGGCCAGGCGTTGGAGTACTTTTGTGGCGATCTATCATGTATCGATTCTGGGCAGCTGGATGAGGCTCTGTTGTGCCCTTTTGGTTTGGGATAGTAATAGAGACTTGTTGGCAACATTTGATGAGACTGCGCTGGTGGCTGTGACTTGATGGATGGATGTGGATTCGAGCAGGTTCCAGCAGGGATATGGCTTTTCAGTCCCGGACACGGATTCATGCAGTCTTCACTTCCCAACTCTGTTTCCAAATGTCTTCGCGAATACTGGGCTCTCAATGCCCTCAAAACTCCAAGTCCCGTGTCCACGACCCTTTATATGTCCCTTACGCCGACATCGACAGCAGGGGTGGATCGCCAGATGCACGGACCCCTGTCGGGCCTGGTCCTAGCTCAAACATAGCATGCCAGACCTCGATTACCGAACATCATCGTCGAGCTGCAGCAAGTGAATACAACACTTGACGACGAATGCCAGTGCCGCTCGGCCTCCTCCCTCGGACCACGTAGCTCACGATTGAACTACTGTTAAGCACACCGCTCCCCCGCTTCTCGTCACCCATCACCCCGTAGCACCTTGTTCTCTATCCCTCTCACGAACCCCGCAGTTGGGTTCTCTTATTGACATCTGTCTCCGTGCGTACAGTGCAGTTGTCAACCTGGCGCCCAACATTCCCTCCGCACGGCAGGCCGTCTTCCTGCTTCTCTTTTCCCTTCTCCTCTTCTCCACCGTCACCGTCATCCTGGCCGCGCCACGGTACGCCCCCCGCATTTCTGCGCTGTTCACGCAGTTACGGTACAGCCGGCCCCACCATTTCAAAGGTCAAGCTCCTCTCGGTCACGTCTTCAGTGTGGTTACTGCTGCCACCACTACCTCCGCACGTCTAGCTACACTGTCGTACTCAACCCTAGGCTCCTTCTACACACACGCACCCGACGTCAACATGGCCAAATACGCCAACCCTCCCCAGGACCCCCCGCTGTTCACCGGCACCAAGGACTCCATCGTCGCCGACTCCAAGGCTCTCTGCGACAACACACGCTCCCTGCTCGACAAGCTCGTTGCTGAGATCAAGCCGAACGACGCTGCCACCTTCGAGTCCGTCCTCCGCCCCCAGATCGAAGACGAGAACCAGAGCTCGCTATCGGCCCGCATCCTTGGCTTCTACCAGTATGTCAGCGCCGATGCCGCCCTGCGCGATGCCAGCACCGAGGCCGAGAAGATTATGGACGAGTTCGGCATCGAGGTCAGCATGCGCGAGGACGTCTTTAAGCTTGTCGATGCCGTCTACAAGAACAGCGGGCTTGCTGAGAGCAAGGAAAAGGACAAGGACCGTCTGATCACCGAAGAGCTGGCCAAGAGCACCGGTCTGGAGAGCGTTGAGAGCGCCAGACTGTTGGAGAAGGAACACAAGAGCTACATCAAGAATGGCCTCGGTCTTCCCGAGGGTGAGAAGAGGGACCGCTTCAAGGAGATCAAGAAGAAGCTTAGCCAAATCAGCATTGCCTTCCAGAAGAACCTCAACGAGGAGAATGGCGGCCTCTGGTTCACCCTAGAGGAGCTCGATGGCGTTCCGCAGGATGTCTTGGACAGCCTGGAGAAGGGCACCGGCGAGAACGAGGGCAAGCTACGTCTCTCCTTCAAGTACCCCGACCTCTTCCCCACCCTCAAGTTTGCCAAGAACCCCGAAACTCGCCGCAAGGTGTTCATCGCGAACGAAAACAAGTGCAACGACAATGTTGAGCTGTTCCGTGAGGCTATCGAGCTTCGTGACGAGGCCGCTCGTCTGCTCGGTTACCCTGACCACGCCACCTTCCGCATTGAGGACAAGATGGCCAAGACGACCAAAACTGTTCTCGACTTCTTGAACGATCTCAAGGAGCGTCTCGGCCCCGGTGGTCTCAAGGAAATCGAACACCTCAAGGAGCTGAAGAAGAAGGACCACGAGGAGCGTGGTCTCCCGTACGATGGCAACTACTATCTCTGGGATCACCGTTACTACGACCGCCTGATGATTGAGAAGGAGTACAGCATTGATGAGAATGCGATTGCTGAGTACTTCCCAATCACCTCCACCATCGAGGGCATGCTCAAGATCTTTGAGACGCTCTTTGGCCTCGTTTTCAACCAGTTGACTCCTGAGGACCGCGCGCGTATCTCGCCTACCGGGAAGGCTGAGGATATCGCGTGGCATGAGGATGTTATCATCTTTAGCGTATGGGACGACAAGTCGGAGGGTGAAGGGTTCGTCGGGTACCTGTACCTGGATCTCCATCCCCGTCAAGGCAAGTATGGCCACGCCGCCAACTTCAACCTGCAGCCTGGCTTCATCCAGGCCAACGGTTCAAGACGCTACCCCGCCACTGCCTTGGTATGCAACTTCTCCAAGCCCACCAAGGAGAAGCCTTCTCTCCTCAAGCACGACGAGGTTGTCACCCTCTTCCACGAGCTGGGTCACGGTATCCATGACCTTGTCGGCCGCACTCAGTATGCTCGCTACCATGGCACTTCCACGGTTCGAGACTTTGTGGAAGCCCCCAGTCAGATGCTGGAGAACTGGTGCTGGACCCCCAGTCAACTCAAGAGCCTGAGCAAACACTACAAGACGGGCGAGTCGATTCCCGACGATCTTATCGAGAAGCTCATCTCGACCAAGCACGTCAACGATGCTCTCTTCAACCTGAGACAGCTGCACTTTGGCCTGTTCGACATGACGGTTCACACACCCAAGTCGCACGAGGAGCTCAAGAAGCTGGACATCAGCAAACTGTACAATGACCTCCGGGCGGACATTTCCAAGATCAAGGGGCCCGAGGAGCAGGGTGAGGCCAGGTAAGTTTTTTTTTTATTGTCAAGGGCTCGAGTCAGTTTTCAATGCTAACTGTTGTTTGTAGCAACTGGGGTAACGGCCAGGCGACGTTTGGGCACTTGATTGGGGGTTATGATGCGGGCTATTATGGTTATTTGAGCTCGCAGGTGTATTCGACTGACATGTTTTATACCAAGTTCAAGAAGGACCCGATGAACGAGGTGGAGGGGAGGAGGTACAGGCATACGGTGCTGGCGAAGGGGGGGTCCAGGGATGAGATGGTTTCGTTGGAGGAGTTTCTTGGGCGGAAGCCGAGTTCGGAGGCTTTTTACAAGGAGTTGGGATTGGAGGGTTGAGGGGTGGCCGCTTTTCTTTTGTGGTTTGGGCTGGAGTACTTTGCTAGCTATCGTTATCAGGAACAATGTTGCCAGTGTATATCGTTCTCGAATGAAAAGAATTTTGGACTGGTAGATGAGGTGGCAGTTGTGCTGGGGTGAGGAGGCTGAAAAAAAGGCTTGTTTCGAGTTTGCCACTTCCGTTTGGGTCATCTGAACTTTGTACATTACGCCTCGGCCCGCTTTCTAGTGTCTCCGAAGGGAAGTCCCGTCCCTCCATGTTGGACTACAAACGACTGCCGAGATCTTCTAGATGTTTGTAACTACCGCGAGTCATCACGTAGCAGTATTGGAGATACTTGCGCTTCCTCATTTCCGAAGTCCGGTTCTGGTTCTGAAGCTGCAGGTGAAGGATGAAAGGGGGAGAGGCTGGCTCACCGACAACGGCGGTGAGGGGAGGTGGGTTTGGGCTGGGAATCCTGACTTGGACGGATTAGGAAGGTGAGGTATAGGATCAGCTCTTGAAGGGGCGGGTTGCCGGTGGAGGTGAGTCGTCGGTGACGGATTTGGCTGCCGGTTGAGTAATGGGGAGAGCTTCCCTTTGGCCGTCGGCAGTTGGAGGGGGTTGTTGTGCTGTGTGCTTTCCTGAGGTATCTGCTAGGTGGTGAGGCTGTTGGTCAGGTTGTTTGTGGGGGGGGATGGATGTGAGAGATGAGACTGATTATGTACGGAGTACAATTCAACAGGAAAGGACTCAACTGACCCGTTAGGAGGAGGAGACGAAAAGGGGGTGACCAGGAGGTTTTGCAACTTGGCACAAAAAGAAATGTAGGGTGAGGGTGGGAAGTGAGAAAATACTAAACCATGAAGCCCGATTAGCTCAGCTGGTTAGAGCGTCGTACTAATACTGGAGACAGTATGTAGTCAATGCGAAGGTCAACAGTTCAATCCTGTTATTGGGCATCTATCTTTCCTTTTCCTATCTTCTTTTTCTTCTTTTTCTTATTGTCTATTTCTTTGCTCTCGTGGGTGTGACCTCCTGATGGTTTATGTATAGCTTGGTGGTTGTGATGAATGGCTATGTGACTATTGAAATTTTGGTGTGTAGATTTAATCAAGATTAATGCTAAAAAAGCAAAGAAAAAACATATATACATAAACACAGTGTGAGTCAAGATGTAGATTCCAAAGGTCCTGGTGGAGCATGAAGGGTGTAAGTAAGACTTGAGCTTTGTTTAACCCAAAACGAAGTTGGGCTTGGATGAGCTTGGGTGAATAGTTCCCCTTATTTTCCAATGTGGGGAGTGCAGGCAAATTCTATTAAATAGCGGAATGTGATATTTTGGGATATCGATATCTTGGGGTAGATTTAGTAGTGTGGTTGTTGTGCGAGGCGCTGAAAGAACAATCAGAAATGGCTACAAAACAATCACAACCAAAGACATCAAAATTGACACATATCAGGTATCATTACTCCCTTACATCTACTTTAAAAACTCGTTGGTATCCAGTCGCGCGCAACAAAAGCAACGCTTGATAACACAAAAGAAATACCCCCTTCCCACAAGAGAAGAAAAAGAAAAAGAACAACGCCGCTTCCGACCCACAGCCCAACACTAAGAAAAATGCCCACCATAAACCCCTCCAATGACCATGCCCATGCCCGATCCTTTTTGGCCATGAAACCCTCATGAATACTCCAAAGAAGACATTACCAGTTATGAGTTATGAAGGAAATGTTTGATGTTGTAAAAGGAAAATGCCAAAAACTCCAAATCGATTTCCCCCCCAAACACCGTTGAAATGCTCAGCTCAGGCGAGTGGAGCGCAGCCGAAAGAAGTACCAACGGCACCCGTCTCGTAGCGGATTGTGATGTCCTTGACAGCCGAGTAGGTGCCGAGCCCGAGAATGACCATGCCCACAATGAACGCCACCACGTTGAGCGCACCCAGCATGATGTTCCATGGCGTCCACTTGCCCTCCTTGATGAACATGAACCACATGATGGCCGGGAAGTAGAATGTGAAGCCAGACAGGAAGATGGCAGCGCAGATGGCCAACAGGGGCGAGAAGAAGGGAATGGCCTCGGCAACGACAAAGGCGACGATTGTGATGGCGGCATCGACACCAATCCAGGTGATCCAGCCCATGGGGGTGTTGACGTAGCGGATAACCGAGTCCTTGAACCACTTGCCATGGATGTAACGGGCGCAGACAACCGTGTTGATGCTGCCAGAGATGTAGATGACGGGCAGGGCGACACCAAAGGCAACCTTGGACATGGTGGGGCCAGCCGAGAGGAGAGCAGGGGCCTGGACATCGTGACCAACAAAGGCGAACACGAGGGCGCCGGTGATGGTGTAGAGGAAGATCTCGAAGATGCCGAGAGAGAAGATGGCGCGGGGATAGTCGGCTGGAGTGTGCATCTCGTCCATGAAGCTGAACTGGCAAAGCGAGTAGCTGTATGCGAACACAATGTTGGTGACCGCAATGAAGCCCTCGTGCAGCGTCAAGCCCTCCTTGGGGTAGGCAGACCAGCTGACAGCAGCCAGACCGCCGTCAGCGTTGGCCGACTGGATGCCGGTCGCGATGATAGTGACACCGATGGCACCAATGATGGAGACGAAATCGACGTATCCGAGAATGGCCATTTCGGAGAAGGTGGGCGGGATGGCCAGGAGGAACAGGAGAATGCCCGAGACGACGGCAAAGACGACAGTGCAGGCGCCATTGTTGGTCAGGTTCCCAAACATGATAGCTCCCGTCAAAACGTGGGAGGCGGTGGTGAAGGTGAGCTGCAGGACGAACATGAACGTCATGATAATGTACCCCCACTTGCCAAACATCATTCTGCCGGCGTCGGTGTAGTGGGCGATGTGGGGGTACTTGACCTTGACCTGACCGACGACATAACTGCAGTACATGGCCAAAAGACCCATGCTGACAGAAATGATGACGCCGAGAATCATGCCCAGTGATGCGAAGGCGGCCGGAAGACTGAGACTGCCCAGGGCGACGGCAGTCACGATGAGCACAACCGTCAGGCGTTTCCATCCAAGCTGGTGGAAAGCGGCCTCACCCTCTGCCAGCTTCTGTCTCTCAAAGTCGTAGTCGGCGGCACCCCTGTTGGCGCGGACGTCACCCTCCATGGAAGAGGCATGGCCGGAGCCGGTTCTCTCGATACCGGCCTTCTCCTTCTCGGTAAGGCTCACGCCCGTGCTTGGAGTGATTTCCGCCATGTTGAAAAAGCCTGTCGTCCCAACACTAGGTAAACGACCCGCCTGCTGAAGCTGTTGAAACTCGACAGGAGCGTGGCGTGATGGGCCGGGGTAGTGCCAGGTAGGGCGATGTGGGGATGGCGAAGTGGCGGACGGATGGGTGAAGAGTGAAGAGAGAAGAACCGAAGTCCGTGGGGAGATGGACTTTATGAACGAGTGTTGCAGGTCAAAAATTGTTGAACAGAAAAATGACCAGGACAAGCACCATTGACACAAAGCCAGTTCCCAAAATGTGTTCCGGATTGGATGGAGAGCCGAACTGCTGGGGAAGCAGGGAAAAGAGAGAAACTTTAAAAGAAAGCGTCAAACCTCAGTTCCAAGCTCGAGTCAGGCAACGGCAAGCACATCCCTACCATGCCGTTCATGCTCCGGCCGATCTCGGTGAACGAATTGAGGCGCGGGAACACCGGCAGGGACGTCCCATCGCCACCGAGGAGGATACCCCGATGGTTATCCCGATGGCTGTTGCTGGCTGGCCAGTATCATCAGATGAGCAGCTGTTCACCCAACGGCCCCGGAAAGAGCTCTCCCCAGATTTCGTGAGTAACCAGCACCGGTCCAAAACACTAAGCTTCCATTACCCAATGCCGCAGGGTCTCAAGGGCTTCGGGTATCCTCACACGGTGTGCTGTCAAGGCCAGGACCCCTCTGCAAGCCCTAGGCTGTCGTTGCTCCTGCATGTCGCAGACGGAGTTCATGGCCGGCCGGTCCACCCTCCCCGCATGAAGCATCTCTCCCACAGGTTCTAGAAGATGAGAAGCGGCAAACGGCGTATCTGAGAAGCCCTGTGTTCATGTGGCGGCTCGAGAATGTGTTGATTGTGGGGGCGCGGTAGCGGACATTCCGATGTGTGTACCGGTAGACGAATTGCCGTATCACTGGGAAAACACCATAGGGCAAAAACGGTTCATCTCGACAAGCCAGGAGCCAGCAATGAGCCAACTGCCAGTAGCGCCGGTACTTTGGTAGTTGGTGTGGTGACGACACTGTGGGACCCCTCAAACGCAGAAAAGGCGCCGTCTCGCCAGCCTCACGCCGATGTCCGCGGCAAAGCTTATTTTCCTCCTGATGCCCAATGCCAATGGCTGCGCTTGCACCGAGGAGGCACGGAGGTAGCACCCTGAAAAAGCTTGGTTCAACTGCGCTGTTCCGGACTGTCTGCGCCGTCTCCAGAGATCGTTGGAAGAGCCCGAGGTGTTAGATGGACCGGGATTCGCATTCTCGGGATCCTCGATTATTCCATCTCCAGCTCAGGCGGTGAAAATTGAGATGGTCGGCAACGTGCGAGATCGGTGTTGTCTCTCCGGGATCCCATCTCTCGTTCGCTGGGGGAGGCGGTGCAAACCCCAGAATGCAACTGCCAGTCCCCACCAGCCGCTGATGGGCGAGGCTTTTGTTGATGACCAATGCCAAACTTGTGAAGAAAACACTTAGTCACGGTTTGCTTGGGACCTGTCGTATATGTTTAATGTGGCCGGCTTGGTCTCTTGGAGTCTCTTGGGCACAACAGGCCCAGATCTTTCGGGTGATCGTCTCGGGAGTCCACATTTTGTTTTGCCTTCTCAACATGTCTCTGAGTCATCAAGTAGACCGGCACTTGAGAGGTCTGTTGTGAAGCTGAGAAAGAACGGGAGAGCGGACCATTGTTGAAGGTGGAAGAATGCCAAGAAGTTGGTTTTTGGCTTCAGAAGCCGTGGAAGCATCCAATATTGACTTCATGCAAGATGCCAGGAAGTGTGCGCTTGGCACACATTCCCGAATCAAGTGAAGTCTTGGCATTGCAAAGATCACAACCCTAACCCTTCACAGGAATCCGGTGGCGCTATCTGTGGCTGAAGCGAAGCAAGGTGTGGCGCACATGAGGCTTGGCCTCCACATTGAAAGTAAACAAACGGAGCGTGTTCTAACCAATCAACGACGTCTGGCATTTTATTAACTGCGACTTCCCTGCTCCCCCTCCAAATGTCAATGGATCCCACAGTTTGACTTTTGACACCATCACCAAACACGCGACTTGGGCCGACGATCCAAGCCTTCCTCGATTGACCCGTGATTGATTATTATCTGATATCGCCAGACGACAATGTCCGTATGTTATTGTTGAGGAGAAACGAACCCAACCCATATTCCAGTTAGCGGTAGCGGTAGCCGACTCGATCGCGTCTTAACTCGCGACAAACCCTCGAAACTCGACCTCTCTGAGCAAACAACCACACAAAAATGTCTATGATGGACTCGGAGGACGTGTTCTTCTGCCTTGAGAACCGGCTGGCATCGTTCCAAGCAACACAACCTGCCTCCAAAGGCAGAGCCTCCAATGCAAACTCTCGCGGTCCAAAACAGCTGCAATGGCCACACAAAACCCTCTCCCCTGTTGCGGTAAGCTTCCTAGCTGATTTCCCTCGGGGTTTCAAGACTGACTTTTGCTGTGATAGTTTGCAAAAGCCGGATTCTTCTTCGAGCCATACCCGCAAAGCCCCGACAATGTTGTGTGCTTTTTGTGCGACAAGTCACTCGACGGGTGGGAAGAGCATGACAATCCTCTGGAGGAACACCTGAAGCACTCGCCAACGTGCGGGTGGGCCATCATGGCAGCCATCGAGGCCGGCATGGGCAACTATGGGAAGGTACACCCTCTCGACCCGTTCATGGTCGAGGCCCGCAAAGCAACGTTTGCCGGCAGGTGGCCCTACGAGACCAAAAAGGGCTTCAAGTGCAAGACTAAAAAGGTAGGAACGACGAACCCTTGACCGTTGGCCCAAGACTGACTCGCCGGAACATAGCTTGTCGAGGCCGGCTGGAAGTACACACCATCGCGGGAGGCGGAGGACATGGCCACGTGCGCCTACTGCCAACTCGCCCTCGAGGGATGGGAGTCGGACGACAACCCGTGGGACGAACACTACAACCGTGCGCCCGAATGCCCATTCTTCACTCTCATCAGCTCGCAACCGGCACCAAAGAAGTCGGGGAGAGCCAAGGCAGCTAGACCCTCCAAGGCCTCGCGGCTCTCGGTGCAGTCCATTGCTACCATCGCCACTGGTGCCTCCGACTTGACCTCTGTTGGAGACCTCACCCTCGACCAAGACGACAGTGTTATGACAACTGCGTCCACCATGACCCAAGGTGCCAAGAAAACGACAAAGGGACGCAAGGCGACTACTGCAAAGGGCCGGAAGGCCAAAGCAAAGAAGGAAGAGGTCGTCGAGATACACGAAGACGAACCGCAAGTAGAAGCACCTCCACCAAAGCCCGCCAGAGGACGTAAGCGTTCTAGCGACACAATGGAGGAACCTTCCATGATCAACGCCGAGGCTCCAGCTCCCAAGAAACGGGCCACACGCACCAAGAAGAACGCTGCCGTAGAGCCGCCCGCAGCGCCACAAGACGTTGATATGGTCGATGTCATTGAGCAGCCACCACCCCCGGCCAAGAAGAAGGGCCGGGGGCCCACCACAAAGTCCCGCAAGGTCTCGCAAGCCTCGGTCCAGTCGGAGCCATTGGATGTGCCAGATGACGATGAGATTGAGCGCCAATTAGAAGCCGATCCCGACCGGTACGAAGAGCCAGCTCTCGAAGAACCAGTCGTCGAAGAACCAATCATCGAAGAGCCGGTTGTCGAAGAGCCAGCTGCTGCAGAGCCGGTTGTCGCAGAACCCGAGGTGGAAGCGCCACGGCCAAAGACAAAAGGAAGGCCCAAGAAATCTACCACTGCACGCAAGACAAGTCAGGTGGCGGAGGAAGAGAGCAGGATACACCCCATGTTCGACGCAACACCTGCGGAACCTGACGAGGCCGAGATCGATGCTGAATACAAGGCTCTTCTCGCCGAGGTTGATCCAGAACCAGAGGAGCCAGAGGAGCAAGAGATCATGGTCCCGAAGAAGGGACGGAAGGCAGGGACTCGGAAAACATCAAAGACGAAGAAGCCTAAGGAGCCTGTGGCCGAGCCAGAACCTGTGGATGAAATCGCCGAAGCTCCTGCGCCATCAGTCGGTGATGTCCAGTACCCAACCCTTAAGATGGAGGATGCCGTTCCAGAACCTGAGGCCAAGTCAGAGCCTCAACCAGAAGAAGTTGATCCGGATGCCAGCAGCGGTACTGTTGTAACCCAGCCTGTGAAGAGGGGTCGCGGTCGTCCCTCGAAGAAGTCTTTGGCTGAACGGGCATCTCTCGAGGCACGGGCGTCTCTGGAGGTCCGGGCATCACTCGACGCACGAGCGTCCGTCGAGGACGTCGAACCGGCACCAAGGCCACGACGATCATCTGCCAGAATAGTCAAAGCTCGCGAGTCTGTTTTAGCGAAGGCGACGACGCCAGAACCGGTCCAGGTTGAGAAGAAGCCTGCCAAACCTCCAACACCACCACCCGCCCCAGTTGTCGAAGCTGCACCTGTCCCACCGACCCCGATGAGAACCAACAAGTCTCTTCCACCACCTCCTCCTTCATCTGCCAGCCAGCACCCATCAACGCCGAGAACACAACCCAGCCGACGGGCGAAACAAGCAACCATGTCCCCTTCGCCGTCGCCGCAATCCTCGGATGCAGAAAACACACGGCGATCGCTGACCAAGACAACAGCTGTTAGCGTCGTCTCCAACAGAGTTGCGCTATCACCAGTTGTTGCCACCCCGAGTCGGAGTTCCCCGTCGAAACGAGCTACGCTGGGCGGACTTCAGAGTGCCACGCCCTGGCAGCCGACAGATCTCGAGATGGTATTTTCACCATCGAACAATCCAAACAAGGAGAATGGTGTCTCCAGGTTGCTGAGCAAGGGCAAGGACTTGACCAGCCCTGAGAAGGGCATGACGGTGGAGGAGTGGATTTACCACAATGCTGAGCTGGCAGAGCAGATGCTCAAGATGGAATGTGAGAATATGGTCTCGGCCTTTGAGAGGGAGGGTACGAGGGCGATGAGGGTGTTGGAGGGGCTGATTGTTGAGTAGATCAAGGTTGTGTGGGTTAGTGAGGGTTCAGGCTGCATGGAGCATTGCCGGCACAGTAATAAGGCGTTGTTTGGGTTTCGGGTGGTTTTGCGCTTAGGGTTGTTTAGCTGCTCAATCAAGGGTTATTGTGTTGTATGCCTCAGACTTTACCTCATCCACACGAAGAACTCATCAAAAGAGGGCGTATTGGAAGCTGCTGAATGTTTGTCAGCCAGAAGTTATTGGACGCCACTCAGATCAAACTGCGGCTTTTCTCCCTGGACTTCACCACACCTTGGTGTGTAACACCCCGCATGCTAGACGAATACGCTCGGTACGCTCTTGTGGTTGGAGCCATATGATTGGAGGGTCGACGGAGATCAACATGAGCATGCATGAGCATTGGATATGTGCACGGCGCATGCACTCGCACCAACTACGAAACATCGAGTGAGAGAGCTGTGCGAATGATTACAGGTGGGATTCGGGCTTGACAATCACTTTGATCATACATGGCAAGCCCTCCACTCGGGGATAGTTGAGCAGTGAAATGCACCTAATGTATGGCTCACACCCTTCCACACGAGATAAGGGATTCATCCATGTTATATCGTTATATCTACCACTGGGTCCCTCGCCCATGACCACTCCGTTGTCAATCTTTTTTGGCCGCCCCATCTTACTCTCTCTCCTTGCAAATCCCTTGAAGAAACAAACCACCACCATCAATCACCACATCATGTCCCACATCACCCTCTCCCTCCTCCTCTCCCTAACAGAACTAACCCTCTCCCACCTCTTCCTTCCCCCCCTCCCCATCCCTCCCTCTTACCTCCTCCCCCTTTTCCTCGCGCATTACCTCCCCTTGAAATTCTACTCCCTCTTCCTCCACCCCTTTTATTTCTCCCCGTTACGCACCCTCCCCACACCTGGGGGAAACCTCCCCCTGCTAGGCCAAACCCTCACCCTCCTCCGCGCAACCTCCCCCGTGCAAACATACGTTGATTGGGCCAACCGTTACCCACGTGCCCCGTTTATCCGGTTTTTGGGTCTGTTCCATTCAGAGATGGTACTAGTTGCCAGTCCGGAGGCGCACAAGGAGGTGTTGATGACGCACTGTTATGAGTTTAAGAAGCCGGATATCATGTACAGGTTTGTTGTGCCCGGGGTTTCTTGTGTTTTTTTTTTTGGTTTTTTGTTTTTTTTACTAAGATGATGCACAGGTTTATTGGGGATTTTGTCGGGATGGGGTTGTTGTTTGCTGAGGGGGGGGAGCATAAG